TCAAAAGTTGACCTTATTTTGTAGAGGGGTTTCTGGAAATTTAATAAATTATTGACAAGAGGGAAAGGGGGAGGTAAAAATTCCAAAAAATTTGTTGACGTAATTAATGGACAGCCCCTGATCTTCTACTTCAAATTATTATTCAAATTCTGTTTGACGTCCTTTATGGTCAAACCCTTACACCATCATGTAATAAATTGTGTCATCAAAAGAAATGTTTTAAAAATAAAAAAATAAAAAGGTTTTGAAAATAGTAAACACAACTCGTAAATTTCATATTTCACATTTATCGCAAATTCAATTTTATAATTAATATTAACTTTCTTTATACAAAAATCACATTGCGAAATAAAGTTACAATTACAAAGTCTTAGCAAAAACAATAACAAATGTTGTTTAATTACAAAAGAATTACAAAAGATTGCAAACGATTGTACGCTATCGTGGCAACAAAGAATACAAATAATTATTTTAAAACCTGGCAAACTTTGTTTAGAGAATGGGATTTTTTTACTTTTAAATTGGGAATTTTAATTTTATTAGCATTTGGGAATACCGCGTTTGACGGGGCCCCACAGGGCTAGTTTACACCCTGATCAGACCTTGTTTTAAAGCGTTATGCCTAGAGCGATTTACATACACCTTAAGCGATTTTTACCTACGCGTAGAGCAATTTTGGTTAAGCTACTTTTTATCAATTTTTAACTTATAAATTAGCAGTAACATAAGAGAAGTTAAAAAAAAACACAATAACTTTTGAATAACGATATGTAAAAATATTTGTTACAGAGAACTTTCGCTTATTAGTTAAAGCAATAGGCATCATAATAGTTCATATTGGGTGTCTACAATTACAATTCAAAAATGGGTTGATGATGGGTGATAAAAATGGGTGCATAAGAGAAGTAATAGAGTAACTACTATTTACTAGTGATGTACTGATATCACTTTTTTGGCCGATGCCGATACCGATGCCGATGAATGGGAAAAGGCTGATACCGATGCCAATATCGATGATTTTACTAATTATTAAAAATTTGAAAATATAAAACCATACAACTTTAAATTGGTATTGGTAAACAAATACTTGGACTCAAATCAAAGCCAAATAATTATTTTTAAAAGATATTAGAAAAACTCAGTTAAAAAAATATACATTTTAATTTTTTTTCATAGTATGAAAAAAAAACTTTCAAAAAAATAAATACAATTTTAGAGGAACACTTTTTATTTTAATTTAAAAAAAAGAAAATATGCATATGCAGTTTACTTAGAATTCTTTATTAATTTATTAGTAATTCAGATATCTTAACAACAATCATATGTTGTTTAGACATAAATTATTTTTAGATAAATAAATTGTTTTTAGAATTATTTTAATTTGTAAAGTTGGATCCCCACCAGGTCCTTGGTAGTACAGCGCTTATTTTGTTTCTACACGCAGCGGCATTGTTCATCAAGGTTTGTGTTTCTGAGTTCTAAAGTTGAAAGTGGGTTGTAACCATAACTAAAATAGCCTCCTCAATTGAAGTGACCTTTGTGGCCTTAGGGAGGTGAATTTAAATAAAATTAAAAATATAGAAATATACTTGGTACTTGGCTATACTTAAATTCATGAAATAAGGCTGAACTATTTGCAAAGAAATTCTCTTCTAATCCGACTTTTGAATCTTATGGCCATTCTCTTCCTTCCATTGTAATTAAACAAGTTAACCCATTGTTAGACATTCGAATCATTTCAGCTTCCATTACTCATAGTCATATCTCCACTAAACTCTTCTATGGCTTGTGGTCCAGACAACATTTCTGTCACAGTCTTACAAAATTGTTCTCCAGAACTCTCTTCAATTTTCTCTAAACTACTTAATAAGTGCTTGACTGAATCTTGTTTTCCTGCCTGCTGAAAAATGGCATCTGTTGTTCTAATTTTTAAACACTCTGGTAAACTTACTGACCCCTCCGATTATTGTCCAATCAGTCTTCTTTCTGTTATTAGCAAAGTCTTTGAGTCTTTGATAAACAAATTTCTCACATTCCATCTCGAGTCAAATAACTTGCTGTCAGACAAATAACTATTGCAATACTGTCGACATTCCTCTATTGATGAATAGCAACCCTCTCACTGATTCCACTTCTTTATGTCTTCTTGGATTATCATTTATTACTGACTTTTTTTTTTGGGAACCATATATACAATCGATTGCTAAATTAGCATCTGCTAAGGTTGCTTCTTTTTATCATGCTCACCATTTTCTCTCTCCTTATTCCATTCCCTACCTCTACAAATCTCTTATTCGTCCCTGTATAGAATACTGTTATCATATTTGGGCTGGTTCTTCTAATAATGCTCTTTCTCTTCAAGATAAGGTTCAAAAAACGCATTGTAAACAGAGTTGGACCCGGTCTATGCAAAGCTTGAGCCTCTTTCACATCATCGTAAAGTTGCATCTCTTTCTCTTTTTTACAAATACTATCATGGTTGCTGCTCAAAGGAGCTTTCATCTTTAGTTCCATCAATCAAAACTCATTCTTGCTTGACTTGACATCATATTACTTTAAAATATTACTTTAAAAAGTCTCATTCTTCGACTGTATCTGTCTCTTCATGCTCCAAAAACTTTTATTTTTCTAGCTTATTTCCACGCACTTCAACCCTTCGGAACTGTCCCATCTTCATGTTTTCCTGACTCATACAACCTTCAACTTTTTAAGTCTTCTGTCAACCACCTCATTGCTCTATAACTCTACTCTTTTTTTCAAGCAACTCCCAACTTGATAGTGGTTGCTGGAAGCCTTATTGGGAGTGAAAAA